GTTATTGAAATAGTATTATTCCAGCAGACAGACAGTGCACTGATAAAAAGGTGATATGCATTCCTGATTCTAAGTGTCCAACTGCATGCCTACTCATTTGTGACACAGGAATGTAGCTTAATTGTTAATCTTGGATTGATGCTGTTGGCAGATGTGGTAAGATTGCATTTTGCAATCTACCAACTGCAACAATGCAACTCAGAATGGTCTGTGGCCCATTTTGATATGTTCTTCATATCTGGGGCTGTGTACTTGGACCATGCAAATAAAAACTCAAATACAGGCTGCAGCAATCTACCAGTAAGTGCATTGCTCAGGAACATCACTCGATACAGTGATACAGAGAATTCCCACGATAGTGATTTTGACATTCAGTATAAGAACCCTTGCACATATGGGACATGGTTATATCAAGGACTCTGCTAATCAGGACTGTTAGAATAAAGAGAGGTCATACAGGTACTCAGCTTGATTTTAAGTGAGGAGAACAGGAATTTGCAGTGGGCATTCCCACTTTCCACCTGCAGAGCCTGGATGTGTTGCACTTCAAAAGACTCAGCCTAATTTTTTCTTCAAGGTTTTGGCTAAGCTAGAAGATGAGTGAAGAGCTGGAAAGGAACTCTGTGATCTGTGATATGCATTTATTTATGAATGGGGACTGGAGTGGGGGAGATGGGGAAAGACCTTTCCATTACACTAAGCAATTGCAGTGTGAAATTAAACTGTACAAGAGCTCAAAGGGCATAGAGTGGCCACATAGGTACACTTAGGGATAAAAAGAAAAAATGCAAATAAATATTTCCCCCGATCCAGGTTTCCTCTTAGGAACTTGTAGTAACTCAGCTCACTACGTGAACATTCTCTCCAGCACACACTGTACATAAAGGAGCAGTTTCCCCACATGACTTCATACTAATTACCTACAAATAGTCATACAAGAAAAACCTCAATCCACTCATGCTCTTTACAGCTGTGATTAGCATTTTCGTTTCAGAACTTCTGAGTGACATTGCTTGCCCAGAATTCATTACTCAATCTCCCTGCATAATGCATGACAACCTGCTGCTGATGTGTCACAGTGCCTCTGCGCAGTGCCCAGCTCCTGCAGCTTCCCAGAAGTTTGTCCATACACTGCAACAGCTAGAACAGATAGGTCACAACAGCCTGGTAAAGCACTTAGGACATTTAAAATGCCTGTTTTTAGGTTCCAGGAAAAATGCAGCAACTGATCCCAGTGGCCTCACAAATTTTCACGACATCTATATGTGGTTTGCCTGTGGCTGGGAGAGGCACTGCATACTTAAAAAACAATATTAAGAAATTACAGAAGCCCTTCTACCTTTAAAACCTCAGAAAATTAAATTTTAACACAACTTGAAATTTACAGAGATCAGTTCAGTTAATTTACCGCCTCTGGTTTGAGGAACAAGTAATTACAGAATAGTATCAGAAATACTTTTAGAATTGGTTAGTCATGATACTTCATCTTGTATGAGTAAGATGAGACTGGAGCTTTAATCAGCTGCCTGGTAAAGACTTGTATCTTTTTGGAACTTACTTCCTTGAGTTTGTCTTGTGTGTAAATCTATAAATATATATATATATATATAAACAGATATATACCTAAATTTATATACATAATATAGATATAATATACATTTTATATAGCCTATCTTTGAGGTAACAGCTGCCTCTTGTACCTTGTACAAGATGAATTATCCTGTCTGCTCTAAACTAATTCTAACAATAACCATAGTTTTGGGACATATTTTTTAGCTGTGGAACTTCACAGTTGGAATCTAAAAATGGTCAGATAACATCAGTTTGAACAAGAACCACCTAGAAATTAAAACCTTTACAGATATAACCAGCCTAGAAAAATTCCAACAGTTATTCTGTAATAATAATAATTCTGGAAGCAACCTCACCACACAGAATCTCAGATTTCTCTCTGCTTCTTTGCAATTTCCCTACAGAAAGCACTGCTTACTTTCAGCATGTAACAGCAGTACTACAGGAATAAGCAAGGAACCTTATGATGTACTCCTATGACAAAACTGCATGTGACCATCACCTGCACACACAATGTGCCACCAACCCAGCTCTCAGCTTGTCAGATGCAAATTAACATGTGTCTCATTTGCAGTCAAAGAACATCATCTCTGGATAATGAAGCATTTGGTGAATTATTTCGAAGCTAAGGCTAAGAAATTCTCTTCCCCGACTCAGTGGCACTTCTGCACGTTTTGCCATCAGTTTGATAGTGGCAATGTGGAAGCCATGCTTCTTCCCAGAGGGACAATCATTCATAACTTGGAGAGGAAAACTGCTAGGAGGTCTGGTAGAGGAACATATTTTGAATGACTTTATGGACTGGGTGTTACAGCCAGTCACTAAGTAGGAAGCTCATTAGATGGGTAAATGGGTAAAATTCACTGATTTTCCATGTCTTAAAAATGTACATTCTGAGAAACACAGAAGCAAGGGAACACTGATTATACTTTTGAAATGTAAAAAATTTGAATAAATTTAAATATGCATTAATAGACTAAGACTTCAACTACAGCATTTATTAAATAAATATGGGGAATTTAAATTATTTTTGCAAACAAAAATATCTAAAAATTATATTTGTCTTTTTCTGGTGTTTGACTAGTTAAAAATGTCTTAAAATTAGCAACCTCTGTGTTCACAATAATCAATGTATTCACATAAGACCAAGGCAACAAATTAAATGTGCCAGAATACTCTTAACAAAATCTGAAACATCACGAAACAGCTATGGACAAACTGGAAAATCTAAACTGTAAAATTCAATTAAAAACTCTGATCTAGGGAAAAACCATAATTTATAATCCTAAATCTACCTCTTAGGATGTCTAATAGAGCCAAAAAGGTGCAGAGAAGCCAATGTGTTTAGGAGTGGTAAATACTAATGTTTGCTGTGTGTAACTGGATCTATGAAAAAGTACAGTGAGTTTAGTATTTGGAAAGAAACTGGACAAACCAAGCAGATATATTCAACAGACAGGGGAAAGAGCCTTATCTTATCTAGTCCAGGAAAGGGAAGGATTTTAACAGAAGGCTGTACCTAAACCATAGGAAACCAATTAGTCCAGGAGTATCTGGAAACATGGGTGAACTACGTGGCAAACCAACCTGTCAGCCCACCTGTGCCACGCTGTGCTAATGCCTGCACAAGTTATGACCTTATAAGTTAACATTATAGCTATAATTAATCATATGCACAAATATTTATATTAACATATATATTAATTATATATATATGACAGCTATAAATTAAGTATACAATAATTATATAGTTATAAGTTATAATTGCTGTCTGCTTGCTTTACAAACAAAATTGCATAATTCATTAGGTTCCTTGGGGACCACTTTTATATTTCCCTGGAAAACTCTGTAGACTGATGGAAATAAGATATCTCAGCAGAAGCTTTCGGTGGTCTATTTGATACAAGAAAAAATCTTCCTTTTTAGACAGAACAAATATGAATAGTGCATTGATGCAATGACAAGACATTAGGAGAAATATTCTACATAAGAGTCAGTAGGATTTCAGTGACGCAAAGTGGAAAACTGTAATAAGGTAACACACTGGTAATAATTCAAAATGTAAAAAAAAAAGGTCCATGACTGGAAGTTCATAATGCAGGAAGATTTGTACAGATGTGGAATTTAAGCAGATAAAAGAGAAGTGAGTTAATTACACATACAAATATAAGATTAGGTACAAAATGTAAAAACATATTCTTTAAAGAGAAACAGAGAAGGATAATAAATTAAAGAATTATATAAAGAAAATCAGGTGAGAGTTATACAGCTGTTTTATGTGCTGACTAGGTTACTTTAAAAGAAAGTTCTATGCACAGGACTCTCATCCCCATTGTCCAAGTAGAAAAGAGACAAGGGGTCTGCCCCCCTTCCATGTTTCTAGTTGTTTTCAAGGTGTTACTCCTGTAAAAAGCACAATCAAGTGCATGGCAACAGAATATGATGTGCACAAACAAAATAACATGAATCAGAAATCCATACTGATGAGGAAAAGCAGAGAAGACATGCAGGGAAATAAGCTTTTTCTGAAGCTGTTCAACAATTGATTACCACGTGGATTAAGAGAGAAGTCACAGATACTCGTGTAGGTGGTTCTCTGGAAGCACATGCAAAGTGTATGACACACAGAACACGCTGCCAGGACATGGGACAGGAGACACCAGCATCAACTGTGCACACACCTTACCTATCCTGGGGTCCCCAGGTGACATCTGGGAGAATACCACTGCCAGGATTGTTTCAACTCTACAGCCTTCAGAGTAAGCTTGAAAAATGCACAGTGCTTAGGGACATCACTCGAGCTCTTTGTGCTCTCCTCCAGCTGTACAGTGCCAAGGTCAGTTTACACTATGTCTTGCTGACACTTCTGGGGAGCTTCCAGGAAAACAGAATACCAAAACCAAAATAGTTATTAATTATGGGCTGGAATGGGTAAACACTTTTTGTTTTCCTACTACATTGTAACTCAGTTTTATTATGTTATACTAAAAACTCCACTGGAATGGGTAGTGCCATCAAGGAAGGCAGAAATTCAGAGTCAGAAACAAATGATCTTTCCCAATTTTGAGAAAATAAATCCCTAGTCTAGATTTATACATGTGTGTATATATATATATATATATATATATATATACATAACACACACTTGTGTATACATCTCAATCAACAACAGACTTGTGCCCTTGTATGGAATAATTGCTATATGTGCTTGCATAGATACTCACGTTGTGAAATGTTTGTTTGTTCCCAGGTATCTAAATGTATTTCAAAGATGAGTTCAGCCTAAACGCCTTCAGAAATGCCATCTACAAATACAGAGATACTCAGCAGATCGGTTACAACAAGTGCTCAGATACAGTGAGTGATGTCTGTGGCTCTGTTCAGTGCAGAACTCCAGCAAGATTGTCTAATTTCACTTTAATGACAGGTTCCAATTGAAAGGAAAGTATCAAACTTGGAAGAATTTAAAACAAAGGTGCTGGATGTTTAACGTCTCCGCATGTTCCAACCCCAGAGAGAAGCCATCCTTTCCTGTTATTCATATCACATAAAGATTTCATTTCAAAGTAATTATTACTTGTTTGGGAGAGAGGCAGTGCCCTGCATACTGAACAGCAAGTTACCAATACCTTGCTTGGCAGGGACTTTTTTCTGTGTGATCCCATGTTTGCATTCATAATCTTTTTTTATCTTCTGTCTCCAGGGTGGTTCCCACCTTTCCCTTTGTGAACCAAGTCCTGCCCTCTGAAAAAGGTATACCTTGTGCAACTGACTTCCACATTAACTCAGACCAGGGAGGGCAAAGGGGAAGCTCACTGTTTCAAAAAAAGCCTCAGAATTTATAAAGCAGCTGCCAATTAGTCAGACCTTAATTTTGCAAATTTATTTAGGAAAAAAAAAATTAACATGAGCAAATGAGAATACTTCAGTGTTACAACAGAGTATATAAATGTCTAGCAATAGTCAAATAATTTGATCTTTAAATACAAAATAACCACATGAACACCTAATATACAGGTTTCATCTGAATACATATTTATTAGATAAATATTAGGTTGTCACATCATCTAACTACATACAGTTTTGCAAGACTAAAAATCACAATTATTTTTTCTGACCAGTTTAAAGTATGAAATGATTGCATTGTACTGTACATACAATGTACAAACAAAGACAATGGCCATTTTTGCATGTTACCTCAGATTGTACTTTTTTTTTTTTTTTTAATTCTCCTCTGATCGTGATATCAAAAATTGTACAAAGTATGAATTTGGTTACAATTTTCTTTTTTTTTTAATCCCCGTATTTTTCTTCATTATTTCTGTAGCACCCTAAAAATACACAGGTGATAGACTAGTACACGTAAGCTAAATATTACATGTAGATAAAACAAAACAAAACAAAGGGTCAGAGTATATTACAGAAGTGAAAGTGGAACAAATGCTGAGACTCCACAAACGCTAACAAACAGGATTCATTTTCCACATAAGATGGAGCTTCAAGCTTTTTTTTATTTTTTTTCCTGCGAAATAAAAACAATGCACATTCCAAGGAAAATGAATTTCTGTTAACATGTCTCTATTTGTCATTTACATATGTACAGCTGTCCCTTGAGTCTCCGCTGCAGACACTGGCGTGTACTGTCAGTCCTATAATAATGTCTTGGCAGCAGAACTGTAGATCTCTGTGGGTTCTTTCCCAGATGAACTTCCATAGGGAAACGATTAAAAGGTAAACAAACAAAAAAAAGAAGAAAAATACTACTGGAATCTCATATAATAATTAAGCTTTAAAAGAAATGACTGTGATTACCCTATTTGCTAGGTTTTTTTCCTCTAAACTTTAATACGGCAGTGAACAGATAAAAAAATAACTAAATTTTCAGAAGCTTTTTCATACTGACTTCACTATACAGTACCTGATTTTAGCTGACAGAGAAATTTAAAAACTGTCTCAAATGTCCAACATTTGGGTGATGGGTAAAAATTGTACTTTCTTTTTTTAAGTTCTAATTAGAAACCAAATGTTTCTGTAAGTTTAAAGATGTCAACTGTCCGCTTTAATTATCTATTACTGTACAAAGCAGATGCCAACACTGCTCCAAACATAATGCTAATATCTATGGGGCTTTTTTTCCCTTTATGCTTTCCAACAGGTACTTTTAAATGACACATTTTAAATACTACCAGTTAGCAAAAGGTCAATCCTTAACATACCTGGCTTAAAATACTAATATTGTGTTTAAGAGAAAATTAATTTTAGGTGACTAACTTAAATGCTCAGGAATCAGTGGACAATGGAACATTAAATAGAATCAATTAAAAAAATCAAAGCAACCAGTTCCAACTAATGGTGAGAAATCTTTATTCCCAAACCTATGGTTTAAGGAACTTACCCCCCAAATAGAAAAAAACTAACTCTAAGGGCATAAAGTCAGTTTATCATTAGCCACCTCCGCACATGACTTCCAGATTTATATTTAAAATGCAGCAAAAAACCAGGGGGAAACTACTACGGTAAAATGGCTACAAAACACATCCGTATCCATAACTGAACAATGGTCTTTCCTAGGAATTGTGTGATAGCAGCACCACACCACAACCATATTACCATGTATTACACCAAGGTATCTTTAATATTCTGCAGAGATCCTCTACAGGTTGTCAAGCCTACATAAGAAAAAAGACACTTCTAAGCAGAATAAAATATACTATACTGTTTCCCTCCCCCACCCACCAACATCCCTAAGTGTCTTTGCCCCAGTTTCAGAGACCGGAGCAACGGTATAGCGATATAAATATGGTACCATACAGATTTGCTGCTTGCCTTAGTGCATCTTCACCTGGTCAGACAGCTGGTCCTACATGTTCTGCTCACTTGGGCAAACGAACAAACTCTGCCATTACCAGCTCACGATCACCCACAGTCAATGAAGAGGTCGATCAGTTAGGGTTTCTTTTTCCCTAAGCAATCACTTTTTCCCTAGGCAAACACAGTTATGTTTCCATGACAGAGCTGGGCCCTGATTATCCAGGTACTGCCTGATGTATTAATTCATTCATCACATAAATGGATATGAAATTTGGGCTAACTTACCAAAAGAAAATAGGGGGGGAAAAAAAAACCAAAACCCAACTCCCTTATTCTGTTAAAGAACCCTCAATTTTCTTTTTTAAAAAAGGACCCATATTTTTCTTCAGACAAGGTATTTAAAAACACCAGCAAAAGTATAACCAGATCATGAAAATGTTGAATATTATCAAAGACGATACTAAAATATTCACAAAGATATTTACAATAGCAATTCTTAAAATAATTGATTTTGCATAATGAACAGCGCCTTTCTTAAAAAAACTTGAAAGAGGAAAAATATAAGTGTGGGACCATTTCTACATAATACGTTTGACAGATTCAATACTCCTACTGGAAAATAAAAGAACTAAACCGCCATTTCCTTTAATATCTACAGCAAGGTGCTGCTGACTAGCATATATATACCACAACGCATGTACAGCTGCAGTGGGAAATGATAACAAAAAGAGCAAAATAAAACAAAAAATGCAGAGAATTTACAAATATGACTTTGGTGAGGAAAGCAAATCCAGAGTCGTAAGCACAGAGCATGCCATTTACAGCATTGCAAACTAAACACAGAGGGCTAGGAAGCTATCTAGTCAAACTGACAGGAACAAACAAAATTTTGCCTGGCACTTCAGTTTAAAATGCATTGTGGCGAGCAAACGAAGGGTGTTTGATTGGATTTGGGAAGAGGAAAAGGAGTAGGGTCAAATATGCTTTAGTATCAAAAGAAACAAAACCAATAACTGTACAGTGGGCAAAAGCTGAAATGTTGCACCACGAGGGCAAAGTTGGCACACATGCACTTCTTACACAGCTACTGTACATCATTTATAAGAGAGAGAGAGAGACAAAGAGCACAGAAATGGGCACAGAAGCAATAGGAAGCTCATGCAGGAGCAGCAACCACACGAGAAGCAAAGATCACAGGGGCAAGACAGTAATTGTGGCAGCAGGGTCTCTGGAGGGCAGTAGCAATCTACTGACAGGTACTGATTCTCCCCACACTCGGTCCTTCAGGAGAAGAGCTCATCCCAGCAGCCAAAGTTTAAAAAAAGAAACTGAAGGAGAAAAGGAAAAGGCTGAAGTATCTGTAACAGTCACAAAAAACAGAATGCAAAGCAAAACTAAAATGAAGCTGTAAGACGTCTGTCCAATGTCAATGCCCCTTCTCAAGCTGATTATTAAAAATAATTATGCAGATAATGATGTTACTCTCCCTCCATCCTGCAATGATTTCCTCGCTGCCTTCAACCCAGCTTGTCTTACTATGCATTGTGCAGTACAGACAGTGACACAAACTCTTGGGGCACCGAAGGCTGTAGGTAATAATCAGAAACAGTTTGGTTTGCATCCCTCCCCCCTCTCTTTTCCATTATGTATGGCATACATGGCAAGAAGATCTATCCCAGCAATCTCTACAGCTGGATGTTAACACAGCCAGAAACGGTACTGATTTGAAACCAAATCACAAAAATCCCTAAACATTGCAAACTTTTAAAAATTTTTTCCAGGGTGCTTCCAATCTGTGTGCTGGGCCAGAGGAATCCTCTGCAAAGAGGTGGTTACGAGATCCCTGTGCTTGCAGAAATCCCGACACCCATGGCTGCGGCCTGGAGATCTCAGGACCCCGTTACTGAAGTTTCATTAGCTAAACTGCTGGCTCCCTCTGACAGGCCTGTGTGTCTTCCCTAACTCTGCCACTTGGCTGTAGGATTTGTGCTTTATTGAGCTTTGTAGGTGGCTTTTTTAGTTTTGCGTGTGGCCAGGGCAATCTTTCCACGGCAAACCCATGGCTGGAGGGGGGCAGAGGAGAGGTGGGGTAGAGGGAGATACAGTTTCAAAAAAATGGAAGAACAAGCATTGTAAAGACACTCTGAGACAGGTCAATTAAAGACAGTTCCATTCTGTTGATTTTTCTTCCCTTGACAAGATTCGGTTTTGCCAAGATACTTCACACTATGTTTATCACAGAACTCTCTCTCTAGAGGATGAACACCAAATGGGGTTTCCAATAGCTGCACAACTGTCTATGCTTCTTTGTCACATGTAGCATGGCAGACTCGGAGATTACTGCATTTAACTTTTGTATTATTTTCTCCCGTCACTTTCGCAGTCTTCGAAGCTAACAAAAGCAGTTCTGAGATGAAGAAAGCAGGGAGTGCACCATTGGATCAAGTTGTGAGGTTTTTTTCTTCTCTTGTGGAAAAGGAGTGTTAAGATTCCTCGCTGTGCAGCCACACACGTGTGAACAAGTGAAAAAGATGGGAGAATACATATGGTTTCAGTTGTTCTCAAAGAGAGACAGAAGGTCATCATTGCTATTGCTTGGCAAATCAGGAGGATCCAGGTATGAAAGCAGCTCATCTGGATTTGTGAGTTCTGGAAGCAGCTATAAAATACAAAGATAAAAAAAAATTACAGATAACAGAAACACAAATGAGGAAAGAAAAGGGATTAAACACCACACATTCCTGGAATCTGGTTTTCATAACAATATATCCAAATAAAACAGAAGGCAGTGTAACAAGCCTAACACCCTCAGATGACGCAATATCCACTTGCTTGTGAAAGTCTCTGTTTTCACCTGTGAATAACATTATCATCTCAGTTAGGGTTTCTTCATCCACTTCCCCATCATATTGCCTGGCTCACAATGCTGACAAAAACTTCTGGATAAATGCTCATTATGGATGTTTGCTATAAAACACTGAATAAACACTTGAAACATGCAGTTTGAGTAATCCATATTTGGGCTTTAAGGTAGATCAGCAAGGGCCAGTCTGGCTCTCACACATCAGTTTGATGGCCACCCAAAGCCTGCAACTCTACAGAAGGCCAAAGCCTGCAACTCTACAGAAGGAGGCAGCCCTGTCCTTCAGTGCACTGATCTATGCTCTGGGACAGTGACCTGGAGCAAGAGCTCACCCAGGATTAAAGCAACCAACAAATCAGGGAAGGTGGGAAAAAAAAACCCCACCCAGCTGAAGAGGAGTATGGAGAGAGGAGCAGCAAAGCAGCTGGGTGAGACCTTCTCCTTCTGTGGCAGAAGCAGCTGGGTGAGACCTTCTCCTTCTGTGGCAGGAATTTTCAGTGGTTGGAAGTACTTACTTGACTACAGCATCACATCCAACTCCTGACATTTTAAATGGTCACACGTATAACACTCCATCCAACAGAAGATGCCCTGATCTGCACACTGCTTTAAAGTATCAAAATTAATAGCTGTGGGACTTCAATTTATATTTCCATTAATACTGCATTCCAAATATAAAATTTTGTTTTTAAAACCATCACAACACATTCTTTTTGATCTGACAGATGACAAGCAGGTTGTAACTCCTGGGCTGTGCATCAGGCAATGCCTTCTGCTCTATAATGCATCTTGCCCTTTCCCAAGCAAATATGAAAGTGTCACATATAAAAAATTGCAGGGAACAGTTTGTAGTAAAGCCCTTTAAGATTCTGTATTGTGTTAAAGACAGAAAAATATGGACTGTTTTAACAAACTTAATAGTAGGTACAAGAAATTAATTTTAAGTTGTTCTGTGTTTTCAAATATTATAAAACTGAAAGCTTGACCGCTTCACATTTAACAATAAATACTGTATTTATATGCTTCTATTACTCTTGTGCAAATGAAACTTCATCTTCTGTCTGGAAAAACAAATTTCTCAATAACCTAAATATGAAATGCAGAAAGAGGTTCATTGCTTTCTAAGAATTTTGAAAAAATGAAAAAAATGGAAAATTGCAATGCGAGTTTACATAAACAGAATGTCCCAGAAGGAATATTTTTCTTAAACTACCACCTTGTTTTATTCATGGTAAAAATGCTATTGTCATAATACTGGAGATATGAGACTTTTATATATACTTTATCTCCTATCATAATTTTTTATGTCATAGAAAATCCAAAAAGAAAAAAGAAGCCCAAAAGAAAATGGCAGCCCCACCAAGTGTGGAGAAATAAAAAAAAAAAATACTGAATTTGTCTTACAATTTTACAACTCATTCTTAAAAATTTAAATTGTCTCTTGAGACTCATTCTCATATACAGGGGATTTTTTAAGAAGTTTTTTTAATAAAAGTGGAAGTTTTAAACAGTATATGTGAAGTTGAAATCTTCTGAGTTGTGAGGGTGACGTTCACATCAGAGGGGTCAGACAGCACAGCCGATCTCCTGCCCCACTAGTGTGAAAACCAGAGCCCTCAGGAAGGACTTGCTGGGAGCTGGGAGTGCTGTGCTGGAGCAGGGACAAAAGAGAGAGGAGTGCCAGGGCCTGCAAGGGGGTGATGGGGACAGAAGCTACAGGAATGTGCCAGCTTTAGGGCAGAGTTTGGAGAAGTGTACTCTGTGCTCCTGAAGTGCAAATTGAGAGGTCTAACCAGTGATTTCAGTCTTGAGTTCTCTGTCTGAAGTACCTGTGCAGATCTCCCCTGTCTGTCTGTATCTGTATGAGGTGGATTCTTTAACCCAGGTTCAACCTTAGACTGCATCTCCCTGAATTCCTGCAGAAGGACCATGACTGTGTCAGCAAGGAGCAGGCCAAGTTGCCCATAGTACAGGGCCCTGTTTGCTTTGCTGCATGGGATTTTATCCAGCCAGGTTCTACAACACACCTATTAAAACAATCCATCTGATCAGGATCACAGGTATTTCCAGTAAGTTTATTTCTCACACTGTATAGAACTTGCCTCCCATTAAGAAACCAGCAGCCCTTCATCAGTGATAACCACAGTACTGTAGTAAGCGTACAGATTTCTTCTCACTCTCTCTTTGCAGGCACCAGTGGGTGCCTGACCCATAATAAAATACTGTACGTTTCTTAAATGTAAGAAGAAAAAAAAGACATTTTTATTTCACCTTTTAGTATTGCTCAGACAAGGTCCTTAAGGGTTCAGAACTCCAACTGCCACATGAACTATTGTTCCCAAAGGATGTGCACACAACCGTATTGTGTGAAATACAAACAGAAGTTGCCTCACTGTTCCTGCAGCATCCTGGAGCCTCTCTCTGTCCCCAAACCCCTTCCCTCCCCTATGAGGCTACCTGCCAGCCCAGTGCTCAGTGTGACAGGGGAGATGCAAGTATACAGCAACAGCAAATACAGATAGAAATCCAAGGCACAGAAGCGAACATATCTCTAAGAAAATTAACTGTGCAGCAGCAGACTTTGGAACACACAGAAGATACACGTACAGGAAAGCATGACTCAAACAAAAATCCAATCCTAGTGCTGAGGATTTATATTTTGGGAGGTAGATGGTTAACCAGAGAGACATACCTCAGAAAAGTCCCTTCCAACTCCACTGAATCAATGTTAAGAGATGGAAGACTACTTTTGGCCTTAAAACTAGACTTTGTTTAGTTGTGAGCTGCCTCCCACGGTGGCTAAAGAGGCAGAAAATGTCCATGTTGTTTACTTCCCTGTGTGATGTACTGGGAGGAGGAACTTGTGCTGCTGAGCCACCCACGAGAACAAGTATGGAAGGGCACAGACTGTTTCTGGCTGCAGGGAGCAGGGCCGGTGTCACAGGGTGGCCAGCACAGATCTCCCGTGTCCCTGGCCAGGACACGCCGCAGGGCTCAGTGCACAGCTCGCTTGGCACAGCAACGCCACAGTCAGAACCACGTACAGCTGTGTCCTCCTCCTGTCCAGGCACTGCAACAGCTTCAGGGTCTAGGAGAGCACAGCCCAACCAGCGCCGGGGTGGGAAAGGAGGACACGGCTCCCAGCCCGGTGTCTGAGCTACTGCCTAAAGAAATGCCTGCCTTGCTGCTAGAAGAGGCTTGTGGCTCGCACACCACGCAGCTGCTCCAACAGGAACCATCCGTTCTCCCAGCAGGTCAGGAGTGCCCTGTCAGCTCGGCTGCAGCGCCTGCGCCCATGTACCAAAGCATGAAAGGATGGCATGTGCTGTGGAAGCGGGTCCCGTCCCCTGCCCGCCCGGCCCTCCCGCGCGATGCGAAGCACACGCTATGGCAGGCAGATGAGAGTATGACACAGACTTACATCCAGCGAGGGCTCCGGCATGTCGGGTGCTCCCTGTCCACCAGCCTGACCCTCTAAGGCTGAGGAGGGGTTAAAGGTCAGGTCACTGTGTGGATGGTTGCTAGAAGCGGCCGGGGGCGGCTGCCGGGACTGCTGGGTAGGAGGCCCGCTGTGATGTAATGGCTGCCCTGACTGGCTGCTGGGGTGAGGGACGTGCAAACCTTGCTGCATGGAAGTATGGGACTGATCAGTGCTGCCGGGATGAGGGATCTGCGGAGGAGGAAAAAAGCAGGAAAAGAAAGTGAGGCCACAAGGTACAGTGCTCGCGGTGCCTGACTCTGTAACTGCATGTTATAAAACCAAATAAATTAAAAAAACGACACACACAACAAAAAACCCCAACAAAACCAATCAACAAACAACAACAACAACAAAAAAAAGAAATAAAAAAGCGCCATTGGAAAAGAAAACTCCATATCCCAATGCTGGAGGAAGTGTTTCAGCTTTTTGAAGGCTGTCTGCAAGGAGAAAAAACACGTTGGACTTGTGCCGTTGGTTTGCTTCCTTGTAATGTGGAAAACTGTGTATGAAGATGCAAAACAATGCACCACAAAGAGGAGGGAAGGAGGCTTATGGGTGTTGCTCAGCATTAGCAAGGCAGATGCTTTTGCCCTAAAAAATGTTATGAATGAGTTGAGAATTTCTTGAATGATCCCTACGCCAGGAAACTCATTAACTGAGAAAATGCATCATTTCTGCTCAGCTCCCCTATTTGGTAGCTTCCTGACACTGCAGCCTATTCCTGTTTCAGCTGATTACAAACATCTTGTAAACACCAGCTCTTCCCCACTCCTTCACTCCTCTTCTTCTCAGAATGCAACACCCCTGTTAAAGGCTGAAGGTTTTCCTTGCTGATATTCTGATGGCTGACAGAACCAAGGCAGCTCGGGAATCACATTCCCACCATGAGCTGAGCTGCTGTGGGTGGCTGCACACCTGCTGACTGCAAAGTACATTGCCTTAGCTTAAACTAAGCCAATGATCATACTCTCCTTTGTGTTCATGCTGTGGATGAGTTGTCTAACAAGAGCTTAGTGTTTTTTTATGTTTTCTGTGGGGAATAAACTACCAATCCACATGCATCATCCTTACCCTATTACTGAATGGGGGAAAAGTCTTTCTCACATGACACAGAAGCAATAAAAATGCACAAGTCCAGTTCTTCCTCCCTCTGCATGTCACATTTAATGCTAGGGGATTCTTTGGGGCTGGACCTTGGTGCCATGAGAAAGAAGTGTCTGGATGCTTCAGAATCAGATATCTCATGTTAATTTGGTATATGGAGAAACAAAAAATGTAAACATTTTTTGGGGAATGCTACATATTGGACAAAGTGAAGCTGAAATAAAAGAACAAATACATACAACAGCAGCATGAAATTCATTCAGCCAAGCCAACAGAAACCAGCAAAATGCTATGTCAGTATTCACCCCTTCATATCATGTAAAAAATTGCAAAGTTATCTTATCCTCAGCCTTCAGCTTCAGAAAGCAAAAGGCAGGTTATCACAAAACTTAATTAAAATGTTCCCATTTAAAAATACAGAGAAACAAGTATTTTAAAAAATAGTTTTCACTACTCTTAGGAAAAGTGAAACTTGAATACTGATCCTTTGGGACAGTCACACTCAGCTGCATGGAGGTCCTTTTCAATACTTTGGCATTATGAAGGTTTGTGGAAATGATTTTACCTGCATGGTATTTGGCTCTCTATCCCATATGAAAGTTTAAAGTAACTGGTAAAAAGTACTGATATACATCTTGACATTGGGGTCACAGTTTGACTACTTGAAAAACATTCTCCAACATTGTTGTTACTGTAAGGCTAAGTTTATACAAAATCTATGCACAGATCACACGTTAATGTAAAAGAATTTGCAGCCCAAAAACGTTGCAAAAGTCTGAGTCTAAGTAGATGTCTGTCTTAATAGTACTGTTTCCTTCCTCACTCATTGAGGACATGTGCAACAGAAAGTGTGGAAATTAGAAAGCTTAATAATAACAACAAAAGGTAAAAAGCAATTTATGACAGTGTTGTTGACATAGGAAACCAAAACCAAAACTAAAACCAAGCAGGATTATATTGAAGAATCTCTTAAATTTATCCCTGAATGTGTAAAGCAAGGGTCATGCTGTCACATTTATATAAATATTTTAACCAGGAGAGACATTTGTATGCTCTCAGGCATTTCAAAATGAATAAGAAAGTTAGAAATTCTACATTGTGTTTATATAGGCAAGGATTTACATATATGTTTAGTTGATAATACAGTCACCTGGATCCTTAGACAATATGGGTATAGGGACTAATTGTTTATTGTAAGATTGAGGGCCACCATATTCTTTGAAGAGACATCGTAGATTCCAAATCCATCCGACTTAGGCCACTGACTCCACCAGCCTCCCAGTGAGAAGGAAAAATGCTCAGGATGGGAACATTTTCTATTTGCATTCAGCTAACTAATGGTAAGTTTGCTATGGTGCAAACACACTGTAAGCAACACACTTTGGGTATGTTTAGCCTGCACCTGCAACTCCCACCATTTTATTCTTTTATTCTGAACCTCCTTTATTTGACCTGCACTATGAATGCAGAATAATAAATGAATATGAATTTATGAATAATAAAGTTGCCTTTGCTTGCACAGCAAGCGAATTCCAGTTGTTTTTAGAGGAATAAGCTTTGGCACTCTTAAAGCATTTACAGTCTATAAAAGGAAAGCTTATAGCAGACAACTACATCTTCAGCTTAATAGCACAGAACAACACAATTCCACAGCCCAACAGTGACCTCTAGGAGTGCCAAGATGTACAGCTGTGGAGAAACAGGGCCTGCCAGCTGCACAGAAATATTCCTTCTGTCTCTGAGGAAAATTATTAGTGGGGAAAAAAATCACCAGGTTAAGTCAATGGTTTATATCTCTCTCCATTACCAGGGTCACAGTTTTACCAACTCTTCTGCTGTGCTAGCTTCCAAAACTAAAAGTTGCCATCCTGCCTACCCTGCTGATGTTCTTGGCCAATTTTCCCATCCACCCCTTTGCCACGTATGCAAAGTGAAACCTTGCAGACATGCACTGAATTTCTCCACCCTGCTCCTGAATTAGTTTCCAATCACATCAGTACCTGGGTCCAAATCACTTCAAGGCTGCAGTAACTTTTGCTGGTGTGAGAGGGAGGAAAAGTGAAAATAGAAAGAAGAGCAATGACTTTTTACAGTAGTACCAGCTCATACCACCTCTCTGTGCGTAGGAGCCTATGGTGTCATCATCCATTGCTCAGTCGCTCCTTACACTGTCTGCAAGAAGCACTAAAATAGAGCTAACTGAATTCTCCTTTGTCTAAAACCTGTTTACAATTTCTGAAAACAAGCATGATGTGATTGTGGCAGCTGTTCTGTAGCAATCTTGCACTGTTGCAATGTACCATCTGCTCCATAGCTCTCACAACGCTCTATGCTGGGGAAGAGGTATTACTTCTGGTCATGTTTCAGGTCCTTTTTTCTTCTTCCACAGGAGTGGAACAGCAGTGTTGAGGAAAGGAAATCCTGATTGATTCATCCCTGGTTACCCAGCCTTACCTACACTGGCAAATATCTGCACTTCCTGGAGTGACCTACAGAATATGTCTAGAGGGATCAACTTTCTCTGCCTCCCACTGCGTAAGGGCCACCACATAAATCTTCAACACAGGAACGCCAGGAACTTCCTCAGCAGCATTCAGCTCCAGCAAGAGAGACCTTAAAAGCCTAGAAGGACTGAACATCCAATCCCTTACAACTCACCTTGTAAATGGCCAAAGTGAATAGTATATGCAAACTACAATAACCTGCTAACTGTAAAAATGAAGGACAGAAAGCCAGAAAAGAGCACAGGCAACATCTTAAAACCTTGGTTCAGTCACACAGTTTGTTTATAGTTGTTTTTCTATGAAGTGTTTCTCCAAAGACATGCAACTACACAATTTAGGAATGTGCTAAAGGCATGTATTTCTCTAAAAGCTGTGATTTTAAAGATGCCTTTCTTGAGTGTCTGTTACAGACAAAGCTCATTTTGAGAGAAAGAAAGAAGAGAGAGGATAAGAGAGAGAGAGGGAAGCAGAGATTTTATAACACTGAAAAGGTTGTGTGGGAACACTAAGAGTCCTCAAATGTGGACTGAAGGCTACATAGTCACACTGGCAAGGTTAATCCTCCTCTGCTAAAAAGACCTGAAAACTGAACCTCATTACAGAAAACCAGCCATTGACATAATGTGGGAATCTGCTTTAGCACTCCTATTCCCAAATGGTATTTTTTGAGTATCATGATAGATGAGGGAGAAGTGAGGCAAAGGTTTACTTTAATTTCCAGCTATCACAAGCAAGTACTAGATTTGCTACAGACCGGCCCACAGAAGTGGAAGTCCATTGACATTTGCCTAGATACACTCTCACAGCTCTGGAACATACATAGCCTTGAGAAACTTTCACCTCTGCTATATGTAAACAGTCACATTTTCAGACAGCTACAAATTCTTCACTTTTATATTCAACTACTTCATATCCTATCAACTCAGAAATTTCACCAGGGCTACTACTAGAGCAAAGGTATGGCTGTTAACTGATGAAATTAAGAGGTAGGTGTCAGGTAATGGGAAGCAAAGATTAACTCCCTGTGGCTTTGACTCAAAGGAAAGCAGCTGTGAGTGGTTCAGGCTGGTATTATTTCCTCTCACCACTGTGGGGAAATTTCCTCTCACTAATACTGCGTGGCTGATTCTTGTGCAGAGTACTCTGACCGCTCTAAGCTGTGTATGCGGAATTTGCCAATGCAACACTACGTTTACAGCATGTTTGTCCTCATCAGCCTGTAAAGTGGTAAACTCATTACAGTTTCTGGACTCTTCCTTTGCAGGAAGAGTCTTGGCACTTGGACTCTCTCCAAACTATATGAAGAACTCCTTCTCCACTCTCTTCTATTTCTCACCATCCTCCTTGGAAAACCCACTGCCAGCTAGAGGAGACATTGAGTAGGCTTTTGCTGAGCATCTGCTACCACGTTTCCTCATTACATTCTGAAATTGTACTTTCTAGGATTCACTGAAGACACAGCACATATGACTTGTCAAGTTAAACATCCTTCCTGTGCAGTAACAGCACACTTTAAACCCCCTGCCCTGCAACTTAAATGAACATAAAAGGATGTATACACACCCCACACACAGTTAAAATAGATGACTAACCATGCCTAAGAACTAAATGCTGCTGGTAGCTCTTCTATCACCCAGTTGCAGCAGTACTGCATTTTCTGAAGATACAGAAAGTTCTGTATAGAAAACTCTGAGCAAGCTGCTTTTCCAATGCACAGTTCTGCCTCACCATCTGAGACCTGAGGAACCTCTATTTTTCAGTCTTACATTGATATTTTCAGACCAGTGGCAGTGTCTCTCCTTGAAATCTGCAGGCTTGTCCTATTATCAAAAGTTTAAAAGTGCCTTTCATGCTACTTGAGTAGAATTCCCCCTCAAAATGCTTTGATGTAAATTTTGCCCTCAGAGAAAAAGCCAGGGAAGATATTGTCCCTGCTCTGAAGTCATCCAATATCTTGCTTTAACAAGCTGTCTCTTGGAGATGGATATTCACAGTCCTGCTGGCCTAGGGAATGAAGTAGATTTTTTTTTTCACATGTCAGAGCAAAGCACAATGATTAATACAAGCAGACTGAGCCAGGTTCTTTCTTTCAGATAAACAAGCTTAAATGACAATTCAAAAAGTGCAGAAATGCTTCTCCAAAAACTCAAAATGGCCAGAAACTAAAAATGGCATTTCTGGCATTTCTCAAGACTACTCTATTTCACCAACTTCCCAAGTGAGGAATCCACAAAAAGTAAAAGCAGTTCATAAGGTAAGTCCTTCAGCTGGATGAGAGCTCCTTACCCCCACAAATGAAACTCTATGTGCCCAGCACCATTACTTACAGATTCCTGCATGGGGTGACTGAGAGGTTTGTCGAGAGCTGCCATGCTGCTCGGCATGTCTGGGGGATGTGACAGCTGTGGCCCATGCATGAAGTCATTCATAGATGTGCCACCAGGATTCCCATGCGGGAAGTCAAAATTGCCATGACCTTGGTAACTGTTGCCTGAAAGAGAAACAGATGTGATTTGTTTCCAAGGTTGATCTCTCCAAGTATCTCGCAGGAGCTGTGCGATGTGACTTCCTCCCTGCGCAGCACAGGGAGCCGTGACACTGAATGTGACAATGCTGTGCCCCCACTGAGCGAGTGGGGACAGGCCACTTGGCTTCCCAACACTGGCTGCTGCAATAATTCATTTATGTGTTGGAACTAATTGAAAACTGCTGACATTTTGAAAAACTACTGCCAAGTCACCACATAAACTTAACCATGCTGAGAAGTAAACAGGATATTAAATTCTATGGGATATTTGTATCTGGAAGTATCTCAGTGTAACTGAGACTGACTGCCCAAGTACCACATAATTTATAGGACACCTGGGTTATTCATGCCTGTGCTTCTACACACTCAGTAAGATTGTAACATTGCTTCAGCTTCTGATGAGAGTAATTGACAGAAGTGAATCTGGAAGATGCCGAAGTACCAGTTCATAGCACAGCATCTACTCTACCCCTTCATAAAAGGCATAGAAGAAGTGTTCATATTTAATTGGGGCTCCCACAAAACTTATAAAATTCACTTCACTGACTGGATTTACACACACATCTTGAAGCAGGCCTGGAGTCCCCTGCTGCTCTGCAGGACAAGCACTGTATGACCATTGTCCATATAGATCCAGCCCACCTCAGCCCAGGGATCTTCATCTGAATTCTAAGGCAAGCAGGTATCCCAGTACAGGGATTCATATTTTTTGTCAAGATTCCTCTCTTAACATTTCCAACTCAGATATCAGCTCTAGTGGCTTATTTGCTATGAATAGCAAAAGGATGAACTAAAACCATTCACCTATTTCATACAAGCAACTGAACTGGATGATACTGAGCTCTGAAATAACAGAACAGCTTTGGAGCTTGCACAGAGAGCCTGCAGTTTGTCAGCTGAAGTACAGCAGTTTTAAATATTCAACTCAAGAAGGGAGTTTGACAAACTGAAGTAGTTGCATCATTTGCTCTTTAGCACAGCTTCACAAGCAGAAGTTTAATCTTGAAGGAATAGTAGTCATTAGCCATGTAAGAGTACTTCTCAAAGACGTCAGGACTTTGATCTATCATGTAAATACTGCAGAGCCTTACTAATTCTCATTTTGTTAATCTGCAAACTGGAGGAGTCTCACAGAACATAGCTGGTCTTGCCTTGCATCAGGAATAATTAATTAGCAAGCAGCTGGAATGTGGTCTTGTAGTACTGAATATTTGTTTGCAAATTAAACTTCAGTATGCTTTCCATCAAAACCAAGTAAACAAACATAAACCACAGTAGTAATACTACTACTACTACTACATTGCTCTAAAGAACTGGTAATCAGAGAACATTATGCAATTGCAATCACCAAGTTTCAGTGCACATATTGATGGAGAATAAAGATAAAAGGCAGCATGCCCAGGGAGTTTCAGCCATGCAGCAGCAAGCCCCTCTCTGCAGCAAGAGTAGTGCCACGTGCTGAGGGAGAGACCTGTCAGACACTGGGGATAACGTGTGCAGGGTGCTGACATCCCCACTGCAGGGCAAATAGGAGAGCGTGGGTTTCACCTGCCAGTGGTGACTCAGGGTTCCAAAGAGCAGTGACTGCCTCTGCTGCAGGACCCATAGGGAAAGCAGCAAAACAACAGTCTAGGCAGCAATGCTCACACAAAGCCTAAACCCTGCACGTGACACGGCTATCCTGTCTGCTCCTGAGTATGCACTGGAAATACGGTGAAGAATAGACAGCTCTGTTCTCAGGCTCTGACTGCACTTCACTCCTACTAAATGAGGGAAAAAATGTGATTCAGTGCTCTTGGCTTTGTTATAGTAATCATTCATCTGTTTGAAAACCTTCTAAGTTTTTATCATCTGTCATCAGTTTTGCAGTCACTGGAGCAAATTAACCGTATTTTGCACGCAATCTATATTTTTCTTCAACGCCTGCAAAAAGCACATGTATCACCTTGTAATCAATTTGGGGATTCTGATAGTGTGAACAGTTGGTCTTTTCCCAGAGCTGAACTGACTCATATCATGTTACTTGCAAAAGAAACAGTCTCTGGTTTCATGTTTTCAGAATTGTCACTGTAATTGAGTTATTCACAACATACCAGTAATTTGAAAACCTATCTCCGCTGCCTGTATTTAGTTCCATGTTCCTCAATCTGGTAACACATGGACAGAGGAACTCAAAAGTAATTTTCTAATGCAAAGGTGTTTGCAAAGCAGCTAAAAGCTCTTTGAGAGTCGTCGCTTTTCTGGTGGCCTATGGAATGTCACTCACCTGGCCACAAATAAACCTAGTGGCCCAGGTAGCAGGGTTAATGGGTCAGGTTTTCTACTTATGTAGTACTAGATGTTTTCACTTGAGAGTGGAACAGAGGAAAATGCACAGAAAAAAATGCAGAAATAGGTCTATTGTGGCAGGCCATGAATATAGAAGGTAACATACAGTATTTCTTTATTCAGGGAGGGCTGCATGACTATGAATATGACAAGCACCAAATACTTAAAATATTAAATAACTAAATACTACAATATATTACTAGAACATAATACTAAAACATACACTCCAATGAACAGATGAATCTTAACTGAAAAGACTTATGCAGAATTGCAGCCACATAATTTGCTGTCCTCATGCATCAGTCTGAGAAGATTCACTGACACACCTGAATCACAAGGCTGACTGAACCACTGGGGAGTGAGCAGCTGGGTGCGCAAAGCCGCAGGACTAACCTTGGTTACCGTATTCAGTGGAGTTG